ACTTTTGTGTTGATAAATTCTAATTGTAAGTGTAATTAGTTAGACTATTGATGAAGACATTGGAAAAACTTCCTGAAATGTCAATGGTTGAGGGTAGGCATGGGGGCTTAGAGGGTAATTTTTGTAGGCCACACGAGCCTGCACCGGAATCGCAATTTAGCAAAACTTAACAACATAAAGATAACAACTAAAACAAAACTATAAGAAAACAACAATAAAACAGTAATTACTCAATCCTCGAAAATGACAAAACAACAAGAAAGGCAGTAGTATTCACAATGAATGAGAATCCCAGATTACATATTTTGACTATTATGAATAAATCATAATCTGACAAAATTAAAAAGTTGTACTGCCGAAACTTTTGAAGGGATTAGGCAACGTTTTAAATTTGGTAGAGTGATAGTGACATGAGAATCATGCCGAAACTATCTAACCCTGCTTCTTTAGGTTCTTTAAGATGAACATTTTTATTGTAATAATTATTAAATGTTTTAAGTCAGTCAAATACTCATAAATTTGTTTAATATATAGCTTAAAAGACTACGGTTAAGTATAGCAGCTGGTATTTAAGTGGATATGTAGCAAATTAGCCGTTAGTCTTAAGAGTAACATGATTATTGACATTTTGTCACAAAGTATACCATAAAAAGAACCTTATTTTCATTCTGTCTAATGCTATAATGAATGGAGTATAGATGCACTAGCTAGATGATCTCGTATATCAAGTTCAACTATTTTCCACTAGATGATATCGGTTGCACTCCTAACTAATAGTTCTTTTTGCTTGCATTTTCCAAGTAAAAATTAATAAGATGTCCGTAAGAAGAAAACGATACTAACTGCTTGCTGATTTTGTTTTGCATTGAAGCTATAAAGGCTATGATGAGTTATGCTAAACTAAAGTTCGTCTCACGAAAGAAGTCCCTCGGATCACAATGTTTTCGCTTTTATTACAAAGGAATAAGAGTTATGCCGTGGGACTTCGTGAAAGATATTCTAACTAAACTCTTTTTTTATTTCATATTTCAAAATAAGGATGATCGATTTTTGATAATCAACGAAATTGAAAGCAAAAAATCAATGTCTTAACATCGATATTAACAAAATCAATCATCAATGTTAACTCACGGCCTCACGTAAGACCAATGCATTATTTAATATTTGATAATATTAATATCATTTAAATTAATCGATTTTACAAAAAACATCGAAATTCTGATAAAAAGAAAACTGATTTTTGTGTATGTAATACATATATATTTTACATACGAGGGTCAAACTGAAAGTTCTTAGAAAATCAAAAACTGATTACATTAGCCAGTTATTAGTTTTATTATATCTTTTCAAAATATTGTCCATTCACGTCAATACACCGCTGCATGCGATGGAACCACTGGGAAAAGCACTTTGCCCACTCGTCCTTAGGGGTCTCTTCAATGGCATCGCGATACGCAGCCACCGCTTCTTCAGCATTCATAAACCGCTTTCCTTTAAGTTTTTCTTTAATTTTTGGAAATAAATAAAAATCATAAGGCGCGAGGTCGGGGCTATACGGCGGGTGACCCAGTAATTCAACGTTTGATGTCGCCAAATAGTCGATCGTTCGCTTGGCGGTGTGCGACGAGGCGTTGTCGTGGTGAAGGAGGATCCTACTGCGAGGTCGTTTCTCTCGAACTTTTTCCAAGACAAGTGGCAAACAATTGGTAGTGTACCATTCTGCAGAAACTGTTTTTTGATCCTCTAACACAATTGTTGCAAAATGACCTATCATTCCAAAGAACGAGGCCACCATTTTTTTTCCCGCACTTCGATCTCTCTTCACTTTAGTTGGCAACTCCTCGAAAGGAAACACCCACTGAGCAGATTGTCTTTTGGTTTTAGGATCATAACAGTAAATCCAGCTTTCGTCACCTGTTAGTATGTCGAACACAGCATTTGAGTCACCTCCGTTAAATCTTTCAATCATTTTACGACACCAATCCACACGATGGAGTTTTTGAGCCTCAGTCAAATTATGAGGTATCCACCGGGCGCAAAGCTTCCTGACCGCTAAATGTTCGTGGAGGATTTTGTGCACTTGACTCATACCGATGCCTAAGCTTGTCCGAATCTGTTGATAGGTCACTCTTTTGTCAGTCTCTATCATACGCCGCACAACACAGATGTTATCTTCAGTCGTCGCCGTAGAAGGCCGTCCCTCACGTAAATCATCAGTGAGATTAGTGCGACCACGTTTAAACTCATTAAACCAGTTGTAAACAGTCGCACGAGATGGGGCTTCATCGTGAAAGGCCAATCGTAGTCTATCATAACTTTCTTGTTGACTTAAATGACATCGAAAGTCATAAAAAATCATTGCACGAAAATTTTCTCGTGTTAAATTCATGATGACGTGACACAGGCAATTTTCAATTTGCCGCCAAATCGTAAAACAAATGACAAATGAATGAAATATATACTCAGTAATATTGGCAAAGAGTTATATTTTCAAATTTTAGAATTATTTTTTTATTATATTGTTTATAAGTGGCCAGTTCTAAGAACTTTCAGTTTGACCCTCGTACATGTTTAGAAAAGTTGGCTCTTCTCTTTATCAGTAAAGAAATAGATTAAAAGGTTCTTCTTTATTAAAATTAGTTTTCCTTCAATCAGTTGATATAAAATATTGGAATATCTAATGATTTGTTCTGTTTCTTGATAAATTTCGAAAGATTTAATATTTTTTATTTCTTTGTAAATTATTGCAAAAAACCATCGATGTTTTCCAACATTCAGCTAGATTTCGATAAATATCGAACATCGATGTTGGGCTTACGATGATGACATCAATGTTTTTCTAATATCGATCATCCCTACATTAATTAAAAAACAAAATGCGTCGTAGAGATACGCAAAAAATATCGATACCGAGTATCTACTTATAAATCGATGCTTTTATTCATTTTTTTTTTACTTTTCTCAATAAAATTAATTAACAAGTTTAGATGAAATACATATTATCCGAGATGAAAAGCAATGGTGGAAGATTTCAGTGACTAATTTTCAATGGTCGGTCATTATTTCAGGGTTTATTTTTTAAACTTACATAGTATTAATTGCATATCAAAGTTTTATTTTTAACCAACGCCAGAAAAAATATTTGAGGAATTGCTCAAAATTTATATGTCAGTCTATGTGAGCTATATTCAAAATATTTGTGTCAAATTTCGTAAAGTATATGTGCCATATTACATTTCAAAGGTGATTTTTGCGTAAAATGGTAAATTTTGATATGTCGATCTCGGTAACAAAATTATTACTCTATTATTATTTACTCGAAATGTTAACTATTATTTAAATTAACTACGCTAACTAATAAATATTATTACAATGTCCCGAACATAATCATTCGATACTAAAAATGATATATGAATATCATATCAGTACTTAGCTCATTATAAGGCTCGTGCACCTAAAATCACTTATCTTTCAACTGCTTTTAAACTAAATGATTAATTCCAACAACATTTCGAGCTCCACTATAAAAATTGTAAGCTCAGTTGGCTGCATTATATATATATTTACTAACTTTTATTTTATACGCGTGGTGTAGTTTTTTTGAGCAGAAATATTATTCCCTTAGAATACTTCTTTTTTTAAATTTATTATGACACAAACATACATTTAAAATTTTATTAAATGCGAAAAAGACATTGAGTGTCACTTAATTACTTTTGTTAATCTTCTGTTTATTCTTTATTATTATTTCTGTTGCCAAATATTTATCTATACTTATAAATTGTCTAAAAAAAATTTGATAATGACAAATTTCCTGGCAAACTTTCATCCCCTATTTTTCGCGATAAAATGTAGCCTTTGTCCTTTCTTAAAGTTAATTCTATTTACTATATTATTTCCATTTAGATGGGTTCAGTTGTTTAAGCGTCTAAGCGTAACAACACTTATTTATCTTACCTTAAGCTATCGATACTTTTAATACGATTCTAAAATCTAGCTAAGTATCGATACTAGAACCATACGCTGATCAAATTAGAACTATACCGAGTTTGCCAAAGCATATGCAGTGATATATACCAACTATATTAAATCATCATAGAAAATATAGCATTTTATAATATAATCAATAAATATCGATTATAAGTTTACAATATTGCCGAAATAAATATCACTCAAATCGATTATTTTTTCCCAATCCCATTCCTTATGAATTTTCCGGATCTCGGACACAGCAGTGCACAAGCGTAAACACGTTTTTCATTGCCGCCATCTCGGACCTGAAAAAACCGGTCCGGAATAGAGAAAAGTAAAATTCTGGACGGTAAAATTCCTGACAGCGCACAAGCGCGCATTACTTACATATGGCCTGACATATCGGACCTGAAAAAATAGGACCGCCGGACATGAAAATTCAGTGTAGTGCACAAGCGCCCTTACAATTACATGATTTTGATAAAAATCTTTAAATGCAGGAGAGGAGTAACCGCTATCAAGTTTTGTCCTAGTTTGGGAATATTGTATATCCGAGCCCATGAAATAATCATCTTTTTACGTCCTCACTGCAGGGGTGCAGTTCTTTAAAAATGGTCAAAGAGGATGGGCCATAACCCACTAAGCTGGCCCAATGCGGATTGAAGAGTATAAACGACTGCAAGTGCAGCTGTGACCAACGCCTTAACGTGCCTTCCGAAGCACGGAGTAACACAATGTAATAACCGACCCTTGTAAATGTTTCTTAACAACAACGATCGTGAGTCACGGTGCTTATCCAGTACGCCACCTACTGCTGCGAAATAAGTTTTATTATACCTTTCCCGTTAAATAAATTTTCATAAGCTGATATTACTTATGAATATTTTACTGGTCACGTGTTATCACCCGAATCTTTTCGTGGGTTGTTGATTTGGTATTCTTGTACTGATTAATAATTTGGGGAAATGAGAAAATACGCATGTGGCAACTTCTGTGGTGACAGTAATAAATTCTATTCGTTTGACGTTGACAGTAGAACTTAACTCTTCCGTGAACGAAGTCAGTTGGCTAAGTTGAGGTTTATTTTTTGGACTGTGACGGTTAAACGTATTTATTTTTGTATTTCATGTGATTAAAATATGTGGTAAATTTATCACTGTAAAGCAGTGGGTCTGGGTGAATTTAATTAAATAAAGAAATCGGTGTTGTGGTCGATTGGGTTTTTCAATGGCTTCTACGACGAAGCAGTCGATCGGTTCTAACGGCCCCTTGGGTAAGCGAAAAAAGTCGAAGGGAAACAAGGGCTCATATTTAACGAAATGGTTGGATAAGACGTTACACCATATACAGGATTCAACACCGAGTATGGAAACATACGAATCTTACATTCATCCCAATTTGAATTGGCCCATAGGCAGTTCTCAATTTGCACCAGGTTATGATCCGTATCGCTATGTGTATGGATGCCCGGAGCCTTTGTCTTTACCTACATTACCAACTTATTATAATCCTGCAATGTCGCCATATAGTCCCTATATTCAAAGTGTAAGTAAAAGTATTCAAGTGCAAAGGCCGCGGGTTCGGCGACGGAACGAAAACAAAGCCGAGGAAGTGGTGAGCACCCCAAACAGTACATTGAGTAATACCAATTATTTGCAACCAAAGAATTTCACTGATAGTCAAGATTTCACAAGCTTGCCACCTATTGTTACGTCAGTAGCCGACACAAACTCAAATAGTGATATGAATACAAATGAGAAGGGAGATATTTGTAATACTAGAAGATTCAGTGACCCTTGTGTACAGGGTCTTCCTGATGTAGCAAGGCCAACAAACGGGGAATTGGAATCAGAATCTGAATCTGAGTCAACCATTTCTGATAATCAGATTGGCAGCCGACTGTTGACACATCTCCTTGACCAAATTAAAACATTAAAATTGGCAAATGAAAGACTGAGTAAAGACTTATTAGATACTAGAGGTGAGTTACCTTCTGTTATTGATTTGTCATGTGGTAATATTAAAGAATTGCTTTTTAAAAAGGAGCTGACCTTGTTTGTTGACTACTTGCTGCCCACATATTAATACATTATAGTCTCTTTTTGATCAACAAACACCCACTTTAGTTATCACCCACACTTGTAATATAAGTATTATGATTTAATAAGTCAAGGATGATACCAAATTGATCAATAAAAAGATTGTATATCTGTTTGAATTAGATTTTAAATTTATTGATATCTTAATTACAAGAACTATTTTTTTATATTTTAAACTGACTTCATATGCTATTTTAGTATTATTCTTTCAGTAAGTCTTGTCTTTAATGATAACTGTGAAAAGAACTGTGTATCCAAGAGCTAAATAAAAACTATTTAAATTAATCATTGTATGATATCCTCATTCATTATATATGTATTATATTCTGTGCCTTTAAGTGAAAATTTTGTTATCATGGTAATAGCCAATACTATACAAATGACAGAATTTGTACACAATAGTTATATGGGTTTTGTTGAATAGAGTTTAAACTGCCAACAATAGAAAAGCATGTGAATTTAAGGTAACACTAACCGATATGAAGATATTTAAGTGTCAGGGCTTTTTATCTAGATATAAACGAACCCTAGTTCTTAATAAAAGTGGTTGAAGGAATTATTCTAATGTAATCAATCTAAACCTACATTTATAATGTAAAATGAAAGCGTTAATCTTTCTGGTAAAATATGGTTTCCTTTAACTTGTATGCATATAATATTTATGCCTATAGGTTTCTGATTTTCATCTGCTTTTATGTCCTATTACTTATTGCAAAATGAAGTTTATGGCATTAGCTGTTCACATAAAAAGTTCTGCTGTAGGTGGAGGTCCAGTTTGTAACTAGGGTTATATAGTAGGGCTATGAGGCGACGATGACGTCTGATGAACTTTTTTATATTTCAGTGGAATTAGATAATATTCGACAACAAAATATGATTCTTCAGAAAGGGCCGAATACGAATAGAGGAGCCGCAAGCCATACGCCCTTGATTGACAATGGTGAGAAGTTATTACCCAAATTCTACGTAATAATAAATAACCTTCACTTGACTAAATATCATTAATTTAATGGAATTCATAATCATGGTTTGAATGATGCATCCTGTAAAGTGGTATTGAATGTTTGTAGAATACTCAAAGTTTTAGTAACATCATAAATTTTGATTGAATAATTTTAAAGTTTCTTTTGGGTTTTTTTTCAAATCAGTCATAACATAACACAAGTACCTGAAAACTTTATTTACCAAAACCAAAACGAAAGCTCAAAAACTGTCTGGTTAAGTACTCTGCCTATTTAGTAATAACTGCATAAAAATCAGCTATAATTAATAAATTTAGCTTAAGAGACTTAAAAATCGAAAACATTAGTTTAATACGGAGTATTGTAATCTTCAAAGCATATAATAATATTGTTCTATCAGAATAATTAGTTCTCTAACGCGGTAGCAAACTCATGACGAATCACACTCGCTGCCGTGAAGTCGTAACATTCACAGGATTCCTTAAAATATTATGACGAATTTTACTAATTAACTGTGACATTACTGGATTGAGCAATTAACTACTAATGGCCTGTGTTTCTTAAAGAATAATCATGAAGAAATACAAAACAAACTACAATAAGATTTTCTTGAATACTTTCCGTAATAATAATAATATACTCGTAAAAAAAAAAATTAATGTCAGCAGTACCTATGTTTAAAATTAATGCACAATTTTTTTTTAAATTTGGGTCCTTAAACAAATAATAACTAATTTTAAATTGATAGCAAACCAAGATATATAATCGAAGGAAACTGTAATAAAAAATTAAAGATCTTAATAAGGTTTCTTATAAGGTCAAACGTGATTTTATAAAATATCGATAGAATAAAGTTACAGAGTTGCCTGTTTAATTCACCACTTATTCAATTCCTTCTCGTAATTTATACCTTTTTTATAAAGAATAATAAAAAATAGATAAAGTCACTTTATTTGCACATTGAAAATTTTTCCAATTATCATTTTATTCTTTACGAGTAAAGTGAGATCCACACAGTACTTTGTTTCCTTTTCTGACCGCGGGTTGGTGGTTGTATTCAAAATTTGGTTTACTTACAACTGCTGTCTAGACTATAGACAGTCGGCAACAAGCAAGAGCGTTCCAACAGAGGTGGGAAAGCTGGTATGCAATCGTGTCGATCACACTTAATTGATTAAAAATAGTTTTTCGAGTGCGACTTTGTGTTTTGCTCAATACGCTACCACTAACTTATTTCTCTTTGTTTTGATATGAAGTCTTAAGCCGTTTGGCCTATACTTTTAACTATACTGAGTCGCAGTTTCTACAATATCAACCCACTTCTTACATATGCAAATAATACTATAATGATAGAAAACAACTTGTTCTCAATCAACCGAGTAGAAAAACACACATATATTCGTGATGCGGTAGTATCGCGTGTCTTCTGTGACCTAAAAGATACCCAGATAGTGCGAGCCAAACTAATAGAGGTGGTATTGGGACCGAATGTTACAGAATAGCGAGGATTCAGTCAAATGGGCTACTTGAATGTTTTGGGAAAAGTATTTTTAAACTTTCATATGATCCAATTAAGCCACTATCAGATTTATTTTTTTTTCCAAAAAACAGTTATTAAATAAAGGAAAAATTTAAACACATTACAATATACTAAACGCCTTCGTTTCTGTTCTTTTTGATTGCAAGTTAATTTTGCAAAAATAAAATATACTACATAGTTATTGATTATATATAAGTGATTATAACATTATCATATCATTATCAATATATTTTATTATTAGAACTATCTAGTACCCAATTTATACATTTAGAAATAAGATGCATTGAATATATTTTTTAATATTCAACGTATTTATGACTAAAGTATAGTAGAGCGTAACAAGTTAGACTTAATTAGCTAATTGTAGCAAGTCTTATTCTAGCGACATAGGTGCTAATATTATCTTAAAAAAGGTTGTCTTTCAAAGTAAAGTTTAAACAACAAAATAGATTAGATTTCTTTGGTTACAATGCGACTAATCAACATTAGATACGGATAAGATATTACGTATAAAGAGTTTCCGTAACTAATTATTAGGTTCGTCTGTGCGTGGGAGTGTTCAATTTGTTATTAAAAAAATACAAATTTCTCGTAGTAAAATAATATGCTTCCGTTATCTGTAACGTAATTCTGTGTTATACCTAGTATTATGTTTTTAAACCGACTTCAAAATCCAAAAGGACGTGGTTATATGTTCGGCAGGAATTTATATTTTTTTATGTAGGTTTACCGATATTTTCGTCGGTTGTTGACAGATTTTAAGAATAACAAAACGAAATACACTTTTCAACATATATCATCAAAATATTAAGATGATATGTTATGACATGGCCCATTTCACCTAAAAATCCAAAGACTGCATTATCTTCTGACTGAAAAGAAGATATTCTGTATTTAACGAGTATGTATACTTTACTCTTTGATGTATATTTTTTATGATAGTCATAGGTCATATAAAGTAGGCATAGAGTAATTTATTATATAGGGCGTAGGTATGTCCATCGATTTCTTCTTGAATTGTGAACCAATTTCTACTAGCTAATTTAAACTAGCTGTTTCTTCGCGCCTTCGCCTGCGTCAATTATAACCTATCTCCGCCGCGTATTATGTTGCTATCACATGCAAACAACCAACCAAATCTTTCCTCTTTAAAATATGAATATAGATTATTGGAAATAATAATGACGAGCAAAAAGAACATAATAATCCTATTCCAAGACTTTCACTATGTTTAATATTTAGTGTTACCTATTATGTATAAAATGTCAACTTCACTAAAAAGTATGAAATAAAAACTTTTTACAGAAAGTAGAACCGACTTCAAACTTTAAAAAAGGGATAAATAATACTTACCTCAAAAGCAACTTATTCAAGAAAATGCTGTTGAAATTAGACGCTATCATTTAATTAATAACCTACAAAAAACCTCGGCGCGACTTCAATAGCATGTTCTTCAATAAGTCACTTTTAAGATAAGTATTATTTATCATTTGAAAGTCGGTTCAATTTTGTTTTAGTTTATAATATCGTTGTTTATTCTTTTATCTAAGCATCAAAGTTTAATTACAACGCTGATCTAGTGTTAAATGGGGTTATCAATCAGTCTCACTCAACTTGAATGCAAAAAAATATTAAATAATTAATATTTAAATATCTTATGCAACGCAAAACATCTTATGTATCGTAAATTTTCTACTGTTGAAAGTTCGCCAGAATAGGTACGCACGCACTTTTGATTTTATTAATAGAATACTATACAATAACGGCCATTATTTTTATGGCTTCTTGAAATTTTAGGAAAGAAAAACAAAGTTTAACATTGCGAGAACACTTCAATGTAAGATGCTTAATATAGACTTCTAAAGTATTTATTCACCAGAGAAAAACTACATTCTTCTCATAGGGGTTTTTGTATATTACTTATAAAGGTTTAAGAGGGATAAAACGTCGGGACTAAACTCTTACTGTCATTTGTAGAAATTTCTCGGTAACCAAGTTTTCACGTATGCTGGCGACTGTAGTGAAATTTTTCGTTTTAATGTAACTACATAAATTCAGGTTTCACTGCGGCAGATTAGTTTTTCGAAATGTATTTCGAACTTACATTTCAAGGCTTAATAATGTAACTGTTTAGGATATATGATGCATGATGCAGCTTGAAATAACTTTATTTTGGCCAAAACTGTCACACAAGATCATACCCTTTTCATTAATGCAAAAGATAGGTTTGTCCTGGAATTTCAAAGTCTAGTTTATTACAATGACCTAGTTATGTGTTATATTATACTTGTGTAGTATTTAATACCAGTAAATGATCTATATCTGTACATATTATAAAACGAAGTCGCTCCTCGCTGTCTGTACGCGTTTTTATAGTGGTTTTCATCAATATACAGAGTCATTCATATACAGTTTATATGTATAATAAAGGACCACGCGGGTGAAACCGATGGCGAAAAACTAGTAAGAAATATTTTTTATTTTATATGTAATAATAATACATTACGATATACGTTTTTGTAAATGTTTCATCAGTGAAAACTCACAGTACGAATAAACATCACAGCGCTCATGCATAGTGTCGGCAGTAGGTATATTGGTAAAAATATTTTCGGGCACCTATTATGGTATGGTTTATGTTTCCGTCCATACCATGATGCGTGTTATGCTATAAAAATAAACTAACAGTTTGTGTTTCGTGACATCCCCAACAGACACGGCACCCTGCACGCATTCCTTCGGTTATTATTCCAAATATTATTTAGAATAGTCTCCCGATTGTAACTTTTTAAAATATAACCTACGCTCCGGACACTATGAGCTTCAGATAATAATACAAAGTTGTATAGAAAGTCATGATATGATAATGAAGACAAAACAACAGTCTTCAAGAGTACAGATAAAGAAAAATAACTACCGTCGCAAATATTATATGTAAATTTTATGCTAACCGTTTCTTTGATTAAATAATCGGTTTGGATTTCGTTACTATTGATCATAGCGTAGAGTTAGATGGTGATAATGATATCATTACATTTAATTTGTCGACTAATAACGAGTAGATTATTTTTGTGAGTACATAAGATCCGCGTTGCAAATAATAGCTGTTCGTATGGAACATTTTTAAGAAGATATATTTTGTCTCATTTACGTACGTAACGTAGATCTAAAATAATACCAACAACAATATTTATATTCCAGTCAAATTCATAACATTCGTATCTGTATTGAATTCGGGCGGAGGTTTTTTGTAGGTTATTAATTGAATTTCTTGAATAAGTCACTTTTGAGATAAGTATTATTTATCGCTTTTTGAAATTTTAAAGTCGGTTCTACTTTTTATAAAGTTTTTCTCGAGTAAAATTTACTTCTCTAGACTATAGACACAAGACAATTAGCTTCTTGTCTCTACGCTACGCAACAAGGGAGATTTCTCACTGAGAACAGAGACGAATGAAATTATGCCAATAAATCTTTACTATTCACATTCCATTTGATTATATTGGATCCTATCTTTGTTATTACGAAACACAATCATCCCACGCTCAATATAAAAATGCGCTGCGTTTAAAATTCCCACGCAACCAAATAGATGAATGCATTCTATATTTTGCGTCATATGATCACATCACAATTTAAGAGTATATTGTTGTTACATTTTGCTACCTAATTTCCGGTTTTCGTTATAATTGAAATATACGTGAAAATAACTAATAATACTAAATTTATGCAATGGCGACTTTCAATAAAAAAGCGAAAGCCGGTAGTTAGTGGACAAGGTACCTACACAAGTTTATTTGGTGATTAATAATTTTAAGTAGATATAAAAGAAACGACACAGACAACAAAAACTTAACGTACTCACAGGAATTTAATTTCCCGGGAATGTTTGTTTTTCTGCTAATTGATTTGAAGGCTAATTGGCTTCAGTCATGACTTTTTTCTTTAGAACGAGAGCTATAGTAATAGGAGAAATATGAAATTCTCGGAAAGTATTTGACCGCGAGATAATTTGGCAAATGCGTTGCCGATCCAAAGCCAATTGTTTGAGAATTCCTTAGTCGACTAGTTAAAAGTAATGAATAATATAACAATAATGATGATGCTATATTCTGGAACGTTCGAAATAATTTCTTTTCAATCTCTACAAAAGCGACTTTGCTTGAAATGTAAGCGAACACGTAGCAAATTATGATTATGCGTTGGTAAGACATTGGACATGCACTATTTGTAGTTTTAGATTCATTAAAAATTCTATTATAATATTGATGCATTTCTTTTTATTAAATAGTCTTCAAAATGATTTCCTAATTATCCATGGTCTTTCGCGTTCGAACTTTAACCACTCGTCGGTTTTTCATTTAGTTTTCTAGAGCTTATAAGTATATTGATAACCCAGGTACAATTTTGTAAAGAATATTCTATAACTTTACCTTTGGATATTATATGAATATCAGGAATGTTAACAAAGAAGCGATGATTTCTTTATTTTGGAGTCTAGGCTAGATTATTTATGAAGTGAATTCCCTAAAACGTATTTTTGGATCTGTTCTACGCTCCAAAAATACGATTCCGTAAAGTTCATTGTGCGTTTCCGTAAAGTTTTTTTTTTTTTGTGATTATTTCAGGTATTCTTGGCGGACAGTATTCACCTGGCTTCCTGACTGACCTGGTGCGCGAGATACGGGAAGCGGCGCGCATCAGGGAAGATGCAATGTATGCAAGAGTACGAGCAATGGTCGGCGAAAGAGTAGATGTGAGTCGAATATTAAAAAAGTCTTTATGCAAATCTGTCAAAGATAATTAAAGACTTTTTGATGGATAACTCGAAATAGATATAACTATGTACTCCAACGTTTTAAATCATATCTAAAAGTCGGCCAAAAGTATGATCTACCTTACGTCATGAACGACAAGGTCGAATTCTCCTTGCAAAAATATGATACTGGCCATTACTTCGAATATATAATTAAGCATCTAAACTCCGCAAGAAAAGTCAACCTTAGCGATAATTAGATCTCATAGAAACTGGTACACCACTTTCTTGGCAGACTACACCTAAAACTGTAAAACAATTATTCTAATTGAAAAGTGAATAAGAGTCGAGTCGTATATTCCCAAAATTGCACATAACTTGAAAGTGGCTTTACCGATTGACGAATAAGATGATATCGCTTAGGCTTAATTAGGCTGGTTCTGGGGGCTTTTGTAAGACATCGCACCTTTTATGAGTTTTTATAATAGGTCATAACAATATAAAACATGTAAAGGTTAGAAACCACAAATTTTTTGGTATCTCGTCCAAGTTTTCTTGTCTGGAACGGGTCTGAATTTCATTATCTAGTATGACCCGAGCGGGAACTGTAACTCGGGAGTTCGTTATTGTTCAGTGCGGTTGGTATTTTACTCACCATGACATTGTGATTGTCTAATCGAACCATTTAATTTGCATTAAATCTTGACTGCGCCATTTGCTTTGCAATCTTCATTCTAATTTAACCTTGAAAACGAACTTAATTTTTACAAGCTTTTACATTTTATGTTTTTATCACTAAGTGAAAAAATATATATTTAGATATCAAATTAAGCATGTCGTTGTAAATTTACGAGACAACAAAAGTATAAAAATGTACATTTTCTTTATTGACTCGATTGGAAACGAATTTGGGTTGAGCCCACACTTGGGCGCGGGGTTTCAAAAAAAAATAGCAATAAAAGGTGCCAGTCGGAAATCTCTGCATTATACGTACATAAAACGTTTTTTTTTTTAATCACCCTATCTATTCAAATAATCGCATACATAGGAACATACAGACGGAATGTGACTTTGTTTTATAAAACATCACGCTTTATATTCCTAAATCACGCAACAGATTTCGTTGCGGCTATCACTGTTCAATAGGAAATTTCTTCAGGAAATCGGGCTTCTAGTATATTGTAGTTAATATTCTAATGTTGAATGCAAGGTCTTTAAACGGCTTAGCGTATCGTTCCGGTCTTCGTTCGGTATTCAACTGCCTAATTAAATTCACTTTCATAAATCTATAACATTGCGCTAACCTATTTCTGATATTATGTACCAGTATTTATCTTGTTATCAATTGAACTAAATCATCATAGTTAGTTTTAGGGTTAAAATTATGAAAAAAGGACATTCTGAAAAGTTTGAATCACCATCAAATCAAAATTTTTTCGTTTCACCAAAAATGAAGTGTAATATAAATCTTATTGTAAATATTAAATTAGATAACTCCACAGAGTCTAATTGGTTGCAATTCTGATGCGCAAACTAGAGTAAATGAAAGTTTAGTCCTGTCAAATTGCGTTTTCAATTCGTAATACAAAATAGATTACAGAAGTAAACTTATAATATTACCTATAGTATACAAGAGTAGGTACAATAAGAACTCTTTGAATTCATGTGACTATGGAATAATGTTAAAACAAACCCAAATTAAGGTTAGACATTTCTTAGTTTAGTGATACAACTTCTCTAGTAATTTATAGTTACCACTTTTTTTTAATGCACAATCTACAAATAGGTTAGGTATCTTTTTACTTTTGTTTTCTGTCTCCAAGTTCGTTGACTCCAGACTGGACAATTTGACATTTGGTAGTAATTTGGCGCTTCTCCAACGTTTTCCCGAGACGTTTGTTGGTATTACATATCAGTTGCTATAATTTTCTATCTAAGACTGTATATATGTATATAGTCAGGCAAATTAGGTTAAACAAAACTCAATGTCTGCGTATACCTCTCATTTAATTATAGTTATTCTCAATCTATCAAGTTTTATGTTTACTGTATTTTTGTGAATAGTGAAAATAATTCATTGTTCTCCTTTTAATAAAGAGTTTTATCTAATACTAGATGTTCTACTGCGACTTCGCTCTAATAAATAGGGAATATTACGCAAAGCTCAGCATAGATTAACACATGCAGGTAACAAACAAACTTTTTCGAACATTTTGGAGATGACAGATAAAATTTTACTCTATCTTATAGATCGTTCGTTAACTTTTAATAGATTAAGGTTTATTCCTTTCTAATGACATGCTCTGGAGCAAATAGTAGTATAAGTTTAAAATTGTTAAATAATAATTGTTGTATCTTTGCAGAACAATCTAGCAGCATCAGAGGCGAGGTTCAGTGAAAAGGCTCTTGACGAAATTAAAGTAAGTATTGATTATTTTCTTGTTTTTTATTTTATAATAAAAAAGAAAAAATATAAAGATTATCAGACTTTCGAATTCTGTAATTTTGCAAACAATTTGTCAATAGTTAACTTATCTTCCTTAAGGGGTTCTTTTTATATCCGCATAAGCGCCATCTATTAAATACGGCTTAAACCAGTCCCTTTCATAGCGCAAGGACAACAGTGCTGCAGCTGTAGTGCTATTCTACGTTAACTTTTAATGTAGAACATCTTGCTTTTAGTTATAAAAGTACGGTAATATACCCATAGGTGGCGCTTTCTCGTAATAAAATATATGAACTTTGTGCAATATTAGCTCAATATGTATGTTTCTTTAAGCGAATTTAGTGATTAACTGATGGTATTTTTCTTCACCCTACCTAAGATCAAACTAGAACGTCGACACATAAAATGGGCGTACAAGCCACAACGTAGGTTATCATAGAACTTATACGCAATTCATATTGTTCAAATTGTCGATTTATAACAACTAAGCTTCTATTCGTTTATGTTGTGTTGCTTAGGTGACTTACTCTAAATACTAATCAATCATAATAATTAAAAAATGCGTTTAATAACGTTTGATGACTGGACTAAGTTTTTTTCTGAGCATACACGTTAGGTACCTATTGTTGCCCCTTATGAGGTGAACAAAGTATTATTAAAAACCGGCCTAATAAGAGTTAGACTTACACACGAAACCACGTTTGTTGTGTGGCAGCCCTCTAAAATATTTATTTTATTCTATTCTTTAGTATTTGTTAATCTGTGAAAATTTCAAATGTCTTAACTATCACGGCTCATGAGATACTCTTTGTGTACAGAACCCTAATAATACAGTTAACAGTACCTCATCAGTATCAGGTTATGTTAAAATCTAATGAAGAATTTCTCTAACAAATTTTTAACCTACTTCAAAAAAGAGTTATTGTTGATATTTTATTATTCTGCAGCGTGCGAGCATTTTGTGAAGTTTGTTCTGTCTGTCATATGTTAAAGTCGTATTTGGCAATACTAAAATGTCAAAATCGAGAGTTGCAAAATCAAAGGAGTAAGGTTACTGACATTTCTATTTTGAAAAATTCATAACAAGCAGTTGACGCGTTGTTTTTATTATCACATCCAGTTCAATACAGAAAGAAAGCTGAAAAATATTCAGCAGACAATTCCATAAATGCGTTTTCCGGAAAAGATATTGATGTAATGTCCATGTTTCATTATTATTTTTCCTGTGGGAACAATGAAAAAGGTTAATTTTTACCTTAGACTTAGCAGTTGTATTTTTTGCCGTTTTCACGTGGTTTTTGACGCTATTAAGTGAGTTTATTTGCGGAGCGCGCGCTGGGTGGTCCGTCGAGTGCACTTCACGCCAACCAGACGCACCTTTATCGGTGTCACGCAGACGTCCGCCACACAGATACGATTTACGACAAAATACATTTTATATTATGCGAGCTACAGACTCGCAATCGTTCACAGTATGTATACTTCGCGCTCTCGTCAAGAATGCACACTGAACTCAGCACAATGATAGCTGTGACGCTGTGCGCTTTTGTTTACTACAATTACTTGGAACTGTGACGTTGCAGGGTCTTGTATAGGTCTTGGAGCTGTGACGTCGCAGGCCTTGTTGTAGGTAGGTTTGTTGATAGGTCGTCTGGCCAAAATAAAGGGTGTCCGACGTATCCGGCCTTTATTAGGCTTTTTACATTTGGCATAAGATTCTTAATACTGTAGGTACTCAATAATGTCCAACCTTTCGAACCAAATTTCCGGCCAAACTGCTGGTCTATCCGGCTATATTAGGTTTGGCGACCTGACACCCTTACTTGTAGGTCTATAAAAGATAAAACAATAATAAAAAATATATATAGAGGTGCGTTACAACCGAAAGAAGTAAGGTAGTTATCGGTGTCTACTGTTTTCAAATCGTGAATATGGAAATGCTTGTGTTCACGAGAGGTTAATTCGCTGCCTTTACTGCCACCGAACAATGTGAAAATAAGCGCGAACATCATCCACATTCGTGGTTCACGAGTGTTAATGGCACGAATGTGGAGCACCCTTTACTCTTCAATGGGTGCTGGTATGCCAGTAACCCATTTGCACCAGAGTAACCTTGTGTCATTTGAAATTATATGAAATCTATGTTTATATATTGTACATGATAGCCAGCAGTGTACCGCTGAGGTTGATTACAAAATATTTATGACTTTTTGCAGTGGCAATGTGGACAACGGTAACTATAAGTCTATTTAGTAATTACGGTAGAATCAGGGGTTGAAAAAAAAGTCAAATTCCGTTGCGCCGAATGGCGGTCAGAATACAGCTGTAGCGTTTGAGCCATTTCAAAAAAATTTTCGTAGACTATAATTTCCGCAACTTTGCATATTTCATCTTCTGTCGCGTCCGCATCTGTGTGGCATCCATTAAAGTTTATTTGCGAAGTTATATCACGTCATGATACTCGCGCTTGCGCAAAACCTTCGGCACCGTCACGGTTAGAAAATTATGGCATGCTTCACTGTCAATTTAAGTACATAGGTTAACATAAAAGTTTTGCTTGACTGGCTAGTTAGAAAACAATCAAATAAAGTAATAGACCTTATTAACTTTTTAACTTAAACAAAAACACTCCGTATGGTATTTATTTTAGTGGATAAAATTTAAATGACGAAGTAGTAAACATTGGTTTCAAATCTATATTCATCATTCTTTAACATTCTATCTTCGTCATAAAAATGCATGTTAAAGTAGTAAGATAAAACGGACGCTAAGATGTCGCATTCTATTGCTAGAGTTGTAGCTAGAGGAGTTTTGTCGCTGCAGTGACCTAACGTGGCATACCTTTTCAACAAATACAAATGCTTACTAACTTAAAATTTATTTCTTAATTAATAATTCATTTTGTTTATTGTTGTTTAAAATCCTGAATTCATAGTGCAACAACTCGCCGTAATGCTGATTAATTTCATAACCGGCTATAAAGTTAACGTAATTATTGCACGTCGATCTAGTTTCAATTTTTCATTTCATTTTATATAAGAACACATAAAATTGCATTGTTTATTGACTTTCGTTGATTTGCCAATACACTGTTGACTACACTACTCAATTAATTCTAGTAAGGTTAACATTAATAGAACTGAGGTAGTTCTATTAATGTTAACGTATTGATAGCGTCTGAATGGCGTTTCAATTAAACAACTCTTTTTGAGAGAGTTTATGTTACTAGATCAAAATATAAAAATATCTGATACATTTATTAACTAACACGCTATTATAATCTTATAGCGTGTTAGTTAATAAATGTATCAGATATTTTTATATTAACAATATCTGATACATTTTTGTTGCCAAAATAACAATTATATTTAACGTATATATGTTCTAGACGTATCGGCAAATCGGCATTAATCATGTTTCCTAGTTTAAAACGTCCGTTATACCAAACAAAGTTGCATATAACATTCCGTTTTGTGAGTCTTTAAACGTCGTCTCCCCACAATATCGGTCGAATATGAGCGGGTGACGGGTGCGCATAAAGTACTACGAACGAGGGGCGCTAAGCAAATATTGGCAGATGTAAGTGGATGGTGCAGCGGCGCTCAGCGGCCGGCGGCGGCGGGCTAGGCGCCTCGTTCGATTCCCTACTTTGTCGGCCGTGATGCGCTGATATATGTTGTGATTCATTTTTTAAATTTAATAATTTTATTAATGCTTGTAATACTTTTGTGTTACTATTTATACTTTCTTTATCTACCTATAATATTTTCTAAGTTTAAAAATCGTTAGTTTTGATTATCTTTGTTTTTATTTTATGACAGTCTAATAACAGTTGAGAATATTATTTTAAGTATAAGGATTAAAATATTAAATAGCCTAACATACATACATACATTATAATATTTTAAAAGACGAGATATTTGATTATCCGCTTGCAATCGAACAGGCACTGGATTTAACTGTACCAAATAAAAAAAATCTTTCACTTACGGAACATAGTGCTATAATCTACGCGGGCGAAGACGCGGGAAAACAGTAATATATATAACATGATTTTTTTCGAATGTTCTTTTAATATATAAATTAAAAACATCGATAGAGAGATGTCATTGTCATTTCAACAGCGTTGATATTTATTCATTGCCCATAATGCACTTCATCGTGACCTGCAATACGGAATTTCTTGATTGACAATATGCGCCTATACCGAATAATAGTAGTTACATTTCCACTCTTTCCATGTTCAAACAGTATCTAAAAAAATTACTTTAGTAGGATTGATTTTCTTATTAACACAAGACACCGCCTGCACTGCCGCGGCATGGCGCAAACGCATCGTAATAAGTTAATTGAAGTGCAAAAACGCGTCGTAACTCTTTTAACGCTCTGTTAATGTATGCCTCGGTAAGTGCTAAATAGTACCTACCGGTAACCACATTCAATTCTCACCCTCGATCGTCAATAAACTTTACGGCATTTTAATATAGCCCCTAATGTTAATATTGCATTTATGGCACGAATATTCAGATAAGTACTTGAAGATTACTTAATTAATGAATCTTTCGTAAGCTGCATTTTTGTTAGGAACTCCTTCAATAGTGACGAGAAGAAGCGACAAAAATCTCTGAAATAGTATGTATGTTTTAATATGTCGCACCTTTTTTATAAAAACAACTTAGAAATAAAGCTCATGCAAAATCTAACTATATTAATAAAGAAATAACGTTAATGAAACTTAGACTTAGGCTTTGCTTGGAGATTTCATTGTTTTTTATACAGCAACAAGCGGTTCCATCGAGACTTGGCTAGTTTTTACATGATATTTTTGATGGAATTTCAGTGCGGAAAGTTATTTATATTTTGCTTCATTTACATCAATAAAAGGGGCTCATTACACTAGATAACTTTTGTCAAGACGTATTTCCATATCTCCCATAGTTCAGCTGAGCTCTTAGGATTCTTCATCATATACTC